TTCGATTGGCGTTTGAATTTTCCAAATCGGACCGTTAGTTCGGGAGATAACAGGGGGGATAAAATTTACCCCCCCCCCCAGCCCCGCGCGTTCGGCTGGAGACCCCAGCCCCGCGCGGGTTAACCCTCGCATGTGTGCGGCGTTTGCCAGCTTCTAATGTGTAGAGGGGGGGGGGGGTCGGTTGGACCCCCCCTTGCCGTTTGGCCCCTGATCGAGCTAGAACTTCGCGGAAACAACGAGCGTGTTGCCCGTGACGAGAGGAAGCCGATGATACCCAATTTTAAGGTCCTAGGTCATTGGTTGACCTTCCAGGTCAGGTCAATGACCCCAAAGTCGGGAAAATCGGGACCTGTTAGAAAGTCGTAAAGAGTGGCTGCTAAGGGGTTTTTCGGGGTGCTGATCACGAATATCGTGTTAGTTTTGATCACAGATGATGTCTTGAAGCATTTAGACCAGGTCGGGTCAGGTCAGGTCAGGTCAACCAGTAGGCGTCGTGACGGGTATTCGTAGTATGTGTCAACCGCCTCTGACCGCTTCGTAACATGTTACGAAGTCACCAAAACTACTTCGTAAATGTTCAAATGGTTGCTAAATTCGAATTCAGCTCCAAAAACTAGCTTAGAAACATGTAAAACTCGAAAAAGTGAACCGAGGTCACCCGAGGTCACCAAAGGTCAATGACCTGACCTGACCTTCAGGTGACCTTGACACCCACGGGAGTAACATCAAATTACATGTTTGAACGTTTGAAACCACGAAAAGCTTGCAAACGCGCGGCTAATGCGAGCCGACATACGCAGAATCGCGATTCCGGCCAAACATGGTCTCGGAAAAGAGGTCACAGGTCAAAGGTCATTTGGGTCAGGGTCATGAAATTTTCAGGGTAGGTGTAAAATTGATCAATGTGAGGGTACTGAAAGTTTCGTCGCGAACGGCCGCTTTTTACGCGAGTTATTCGCGAAAAACCATGGGGGGGTCCATCCGACCCCCCCCCCCCCTACACATGCGAGGGTTAACCCTTTTAGTGGCAGGGGGTTGTTTTCATCCACCCCTCAGGTTTTTCGGGAATATCTCCGAAACCGCTGAAGCTACGGTGCTGAAATTTTGTGACTTTTCCTAAAACTAAATTGGGCACATTCCCTGAAAATTTCAAGATCATAACTTTACCAGGGGCGGCTCCAGAGCACTGGGAATTGGGGGTCCTATTCGTGAAGCGAGTCATTTGGGCGAAGATCACGATGCTGATGTATTATAACTGTATGCACCAGTTTTACGAACAGTGAATGAAAGGTATCATGTGATAACATATACAAAGTTATTGTGCATCCTCTTTTGACACGTTTTCGCTATAATAGGCGGATCCAGGCGTCCAAAAGGGGGGGTTATGTTTTATCTCCCAACATAGGTGCCCTGACACCGCCTATGCATGACCAATACAATTGTAGTCGTTCTCTCATAAGAAAATTGTAACATAACAAGACCATTGCCACCCTTTTTAGAAACAGTACCAAGAAAAACCTTATTTATTATACTTTTTGTGTACCCCCAATCTCAATGATCTGTATCCGCCTATGATTTTTGAAAATGCATATTTTTAGGATCCATGTGAATTCCTGGTTCATTCTCTATCGATCGGCAAAAGTTGCGTTAAGATTGGTTCAGAAACCTGGCCGTGATAAATAGTCTAAAATGTATCTGCAGTTTGCCCGTTTTTACCCCCCTCTACCCCCTATTGACATTTTTTAATTTTTATTTTTTAGAAATGTAGATCACGTTGAGCGAAATCGAATGCCGTTTGAATTTTGAAAATCGGCCCGTTAGATCTCGAGATATCAGGGGGGTCGTAAACAGCCCCCCCCCCTGCCACTAATAGGGGTAGCCAGGAGCCTGCCACTAATAGGGTTAAATTGATTGGAAGTTATTGATGGAAAACACCTCCAAAAGTGAAGCATCACACCTTCCAAGGAGTGTATAAAATCACAATTAAATGAGCTTGCGGTAACTTCATTTCTGGTCCCAACATAACAGTTTGCATGTTTCCTCAATTGACTTACAACGCTGAGAAGTAACCGAACTGGCCTCATGTCACCTAAAGGAAAAATCCGAGATATTCAAGCTGTGAGTGAGACCTCTAAAGGTTATAGGACCTGCAAGTTTTATTTCCCTGTGTCCTGTGAAAGTTCCTCTGACACTAGGGGCATTGCGAAGTTGCGACATTCTAGGACCGTGCAGACTTTCACGTATGGCGTCATAGGTCAGTGACCTAACATGACCTGAAAATGGGTTGTGTTACAAGATTTCGCAAGATGTCAAAATATGTCACAAGCACGGAGCACCCCCTCCCTCGGGCGGCCTTATTCACGATTTTAGGACTAAAGTACGTATCGCTAAAGTACGTAGGACAAAAGTACGTATGCAAATGTTCGTACGCAAATATACGTAGGCGCTAAAGTTCGTATGCCAAAAGTACGTACGCAAATGTTCGTACGTAAAAGTACGTATGCAAAAGTACGTAGTGCATAAAGTACGTATGTCAAAAGTACGTACGCAAATGTTCGTACGCAAAAGTACGTATGAAAAAGTACGTAGTGCATAAAGTACGTATGCCAAAAGTACGTACGCAAATGCTCGTACGCAAAAGTACATATGCAAAAGTACGTAGTGTAAAAAGTATGTATGCCAAAAGTACGTACGTAAATGTTCGTACGCAAAAGTTCGTATGCAAAAGTACGTAGTGTATAAAGTACGTATGCCAAAAGTACGTACCCAAAAGTTCGTACGCAAAAGTACGTTTGCAAAAGTACGTAGTGTATAAAGTACGTATGCCAAAAGTACGTACGCGAATGTTCGCACGCAAAAGTTCGTATGAAAAAGTACGTAGTGTAAAAAGTACGTATGCCAAAAGTACGTATGGTTCGTATGCCAAAGCACGTAGTGTATAAGTACGTATGCTAGAAGTAGGGTATAGTAGTGTAAGTTGAGCCACTTTTTCTTTATTGCTGCCCTCTTGCCATACTATAGGGAACTCATGATAAATTCATATAGGTACCAAATAATATAGCTTTGTTCCTTTCGCCCATTTACTCATCGAGAAATTTTGCTATGCCTTGTAACAAATGCTCATTAAATAAAGAATAAGAAAGGTATTACACATTGATCAACTTACCCCATGGGTGGGGTACGTACTTTATACCCTACGTACATTTGCTATACGTACTTTTGTCCGTGACGTACTTGGTCCACACGTAGGGTAGACCGGGGCAAGTCGCCCCGCCGAGGTAAAACGCCTGGCGGCCTCACCGATATCTCTCGGAACTGACAGGGTTCTGGGGAAAGGTCCTCTCCTTTGTTAAACGTGCACTATATGATCATTCTGGAAAGAAATTGTGATAACTCTCTGGGAGATATAGCCAAAAATGTGTTGTTTTTTTTTAGTGATTTTTATGTTTGGTCATCTGATTATGCATCCTCGCGTTCTTTTGTAGTCCACATCAGGTTAACGACTTGTATGTATTTTGAACAACTATTGTCTAACGCTTATAATGCCGGGTTGGTTCGTGTTAAATTATGTCTTGCTGGAGCGCAAGGCGTTGTTCGCTGACCGGACTACATGATGGGGTAAAACGCCCCAGTAGGTCGCGGGGCAAAAAGCCCCATGGGGCGTTTTACCTCATGTGTTGTTCGGACTACCCACTTCCTAATGTTCGGTAGCTGGCGAACAGCAAGTTTCTATGCATTTATATGTATTTTTCTCAGCAACTGTATGGCAAAGGAAGTGTATTGTTAACTGATTTGCATTGCAATAATTTATTATTTGGCCTTATGAGGCACGTGAAAAACCTGCTCATACAATTAACAATAGTGTCATAGCTAAACACCTGATAGGATGGAAGGTGCTAACTTCAGTGCCGTGCCTCCAGCGGTCTAACGGATCTCTCATATAAGATTTAGCCAACTACCATGTTTAATCTTTAAGCTAGACTCTAGAGTATGGGGCTTCTTGCCTCAGGCCGTGGGGCGTTTTGCCCTGGGGTTGGGGCAAAATGTCCCATTTGCAGTTGCTTCACAAATCACTTCCTAGCTGGGAGTCCGATCATAAGTGAATGAATTTGAGGGGTGAAATTTAAAGTAAAATGTCCAAAGAACACATTGAGCACAAATTTGGCCTTCCAGGTGATGTAGCACAAAATTTAGGTAGGCCTGGTAGGCCTATGTAGCAAAATAGATTATCTGGGGCGTCTTGCCCAAGGTCTTTACCTTGCGTCTTTATCCTTCATTATACCCTACGTACATTTGTTATATGTACTTTTGTACGTGACGTACTTTTGTCCTTACGTTTACGTACTTTATACCCTTACGTACTTCTGCCATACGTACTTTTGTCCGTGACGTACTTTTGTCCATACGTACTTTTTACCCTACGTACATTAGCTATACGTACTTTTGTCCGTGACGTACTTTTGTCCATACGTACTTTATACCCTACGTACTTCTGCGATACGTACTTTTGTCCCTGACGTACTTTTGTCCATACGTACTTTTTACCCTACGTACATTAGCTATACGTACTTTTGTCCCTGACGTACTTTTGTCCATACGTACTTTATACTGTACGTACTTCTGCGATACGTACTTTTGTCCATACGTACTTTATACTGTACGTACTTCTGCGATACGTACTTTTGTCCCTGACGTACTTTTGTACATACGTACTTTATATTGTACGTACTTCTGCGATACGTACTTTTGTCCCTGACGTACTTTTGTCCATACGTACTTTATACTGTACGTACTTCTGCGATACGTACTTAAATCCTACGTACTTTTGCTTACGTACTTTTGTCCTACGTACTTTAGCGATACGTACTTTTGTCCGTAACCCCTTATTCACACCGTCCCATTTGCTGTTCTCTGCTACTAGCGTGACATCTCACCATCTCGAATAATATTATCAACTACAGTTTCTCTAACTGTACGAAAGATGTCGCCAGCGCAGCTCCACTGTTCGATCAGCTGGCAATCGGTGGGCGGCACCGGCGGAGCGAGCGTCGCTCTCCCCGAACGTTGTCGGCACCGACGCGACGCGGGGCCGCACCAGTTTGGCCCGGGGTGTGCGCACGGGGCGACGCGACTCCACGAAACGGGCAGTGACGGGATTGCGTCGAAGGCGACGGGACGACGCTGGCCAGGAGGCACGTCTCGGCCGTGGCGCTGGTAGTGTAGGTGAGCTATTTCTGCCCCGTGAATCTTACCAAATTTTGAACCAATTTGACGCTCCTAGACTTAATTTGATTGATCGAACGCTTTGTTTTTCTGCTGGTGAATTATTTATGCATCAAGTCTGGAAAATACTTTTCCGCGGCGGACCAGACTCATCTCACCACAGCATCAGAGCGACTGCAAGCGAGACGAGCGCGTGACTCCCTCATCGATACACGGCGGTCCCTTGGCACCCTGCCAGGGCGAGGCGAGGTAAGTCATGCCCCGGCGACGGAGCGTGTCGCCAGCTGACGAGGTATCCAACAGGTGTGTCAACCCTGGCCCGATCGCGGCAACCGAGCGCGGCGCCGGGGGCGTTTTTGAGCACCAATAATTGTTGAGCGATGTGTGTCTCCTTCTGTTCGTTCTGCTATCCATTGCCGCTGCCAGGCACCTCGGAGCGTGGAAGCCAGCCAGCCATCAGTGGTGCCAAAATACGGCTATAAATAAATATGTCATCCGAAGCATGTTTGCCCGATAACTGCAGTTTCCTGCGCGTTACGGTCAAGCATGCTCGGTGGTTATAGAATATAAACATAGGTATCATTTAAAGAATCATCGCGTATTGGTGAACCACTGTCATTTCTTAGGTACGCATGGGATACGCTATGACATCAAAGTAGCCACTGCTGGTATAAATTTCAGGCTGTTAGAAAAAAAAACGAACGAAATGCTGATCATGTCATGTGAATATAAAAAGAACGTTTTTTTTTTCTGGAAAACGACATAAACAAGTATAGGTACGTCGAATGCATAGTATGTAAGAAAGTCATCGTTTATTATGTCAGCCATATTCCCCAAGAAAAAAAAAACAGACTTCCGTATTGTTTGGTATGGGTTAATAAAAATGATATCCGATTGGCATCTTTAGTAGCCATCACCTATCGCCACTTGGCATCTCTACTTTCAAGATTTATAATTGTAGATATTATTGCAGGAAGAAAACACGATTCGATGCTCCTATACCTGTAATATGGCTTGTCATGCACATGATTTCAATTCAAACTGTTTTCGCACAAAAGCCCCATTGAGCCACAATGTGAACATTCTGCGTGTTCATTTACGGAACGTCCAACCGCACAAACCATTCATAAATTCACATACTGCCAGCTCGTTATAAACGCGAGTGCATCACATCTTCGGACATATTCTCGCTCTGTGATTTATTTTCCGGCTAACGGGCGGCGAGGGAGGACTATAGTTTCATTTACAGTGTCACTGGTCTTCCAGATGGCTTCGCTGTGATGAATGCCACCGGGTGACTTCAAACTAATGTAAGGGAGAGCAGCCGGACTTATTACCACTGAAGACACATGGGCCGACCGACCTTTGCGAAATTCAACGGCAGTGCGTGATGGCTTAGCGATCCATCCCGCGTTGCACGGAATGCTGGAGTTTATGCAAATTGACTGCAGTTGTATGAATGTTAAAATTGCAAAGTGAATTAGAATGCAGATGGGACTTGAATACCTCATGGGCTGGGGAAATATTGCGACTATCAAAGTCAATACTGAGCTGTTGGTACCCGTTCACATGATAACATGTGGGCATTCATTAGAAATAGACAGCATTTAAAGACAGCTATCATCTCATAATTATTTGCAATAAAACAACACCATATGCACTCGCAATCCTGACCAACAATAAGAACATTGGACAGGTAAACAAACACACAACTTACCTGCGAGCGACTTTTTATGCCGTCGATGCTTTGAACTCTTCCGTGTGTGTTGGCATCACCCCTCCTGCGGCGACGATTTGATCCTCTGGTGCGTCTGAAATTGGCAGTCGCACCTTCGCCACCTGTTCGTCTTCCTCTGCCGCCAAACGATGTCAACCCATTGTTCTTCTCCCTTCATGCACCAGCATCAATCTTGATTTCGCCGTCTTCGGTCGCTGTGCCGTTCTTGTGTACACTTTTCGCTCCCATTCTTATTTACTTACTATTATATCCCTCGCCCGTAAACGGTGTTTTGCCACCTTCGCCCATGCAGCGGGGGGGGGGGGGGGTTGGTGCGACCCCCCCTGGCGTTTGGAAACGGAGCGTCGTAGAGCTTAGCGGAAACAACCAACGGATTGCTCTCAACGATATCTCGCGATTGGTGGTATATTTTTTGGTCCTAGGTCAACATTTGACCTACTTATGACCGGTCAAAGGTCAAATTTTCGGAAAAAAATCTAAATTTTTCATATTTCCGCGCCGATTGCGGCAAAACGGTAAGAGATATCGACTTGAAACTTTCACTATCGTGATCCTTGATCAATTCTCTATCGTTTGGTGTGTATTTCGATGTCATAATTCTAAAAATGATGCGTTGGGAGCATCGGAAGTCTGCAAGGTCATTTGTGCATTAGGTCACGTCAGGCGTGTGACGTCACTGACCTGACCCTGACCCAAAATGAACTACAAGAAACAACCGACGATGCCTGAAATGGATAGCAAATTCGAATTCAGGGCATCTAAATACCCCGAAAAGGCATACAAGTGCAAGAAGTCATTACAGGTTAACCGAGGTCACTGACCTTACCTTGACCTTTGGGGCATTCCACGATAGATCGAACCAGGCCCGTCACCCTCATCTCTAAGATTTGAATGAAAATTGGTACAATGGGTAATCATAGGCTCCAAAAACACCTGTCAAAATATCAGACTTCTCAGATCAAAACTTTTTGAGTTACATTGCATAATATTTTCTAAACTTCAGATTGTAAAGGTGAGTTTGATGAGCTATAACTCAAAAACGAGCTAAGCAAGCAACAAACGGTAAACAGCTTTGAACTAACGATGAATCAAAGATTAATACAGTATTTTTAAAATTGGAAAGAAAAGCTTAACATATTGAAAAAAGTCGTAGTATTTTTTCAAATTGTCTATAATGGCCCTTGGGACCAAAATTTTTGCCATTTTTATTTTTTCAAAATAAACCTCAGGTCCTTTAAAATCGACATGCAAAAAAATTAGAAGGGTGTTCTTTCTATAAGTTCCTCATTTAAATGTATACAAAATGAGTTCCGGGGTTCGGTACGACCCCAGCTCGCCGTTTCGCCTCTAATGGAGCTAGAACCTTGCGGAAAATACGAGCATGTGCGCCGTTACAAGATGCATCGAATAATGCCACATTTTAAGGTCTCGGGTTCATTGGTGACCCCTGAGGTCATTTCAAGTGACCCAAATTACGGGTCCGGTTTTTGATAGATAACTTCGCAACAAATGGTCCCAGAGCCACGATTTTAGCATCTTTGTGTTTGCCTAGCTCCGGCGCGTCGAATGGTATACTGTTTGTTCTGGTGAAGTCAGCTTAAGTCGCTGACCTCGGGTCAGCACACTGCCGTGTATTTGGCTCCGCGCCCCGACCGGGCGGCCCAGCCGGCAGCCAGCCCCCGGGCATCACGTGACCGCTCGAGTCCGCGGCAAAGCCAACCAGCGCGGCGCTGGACAAACAGCGCCGCTACAGAGATGGTTAACAGTCGGGTCAGGCCACGAAGCTGAGTGAATGAGATCATATTGCACATCATTCGATTCGCAAGGTCTTTCCGAGTCCAATGGTAGCTTTCCCGTCTCTCTAGCTCAATTTGATCGAGAGTTATTGACGAAAAACTCTTATGACCCTAATGACGTACGAATGACGTCACGAAAGATCAACAATGCAAAAGTCAAGCAAAAGTGAGGCGAAAATGACTTCAACTGAACTTTCAGTAACAGGGGATGTCACTAGGCAGCTTTCATCATCATCATCATCATCAACCTTGCGGCTTTACCACACCATTTGTAGGCTCTTTTCCGAAATCACAATTCGAGACCATTACGGTGACGTAAAATAAGTACATTTATAGAACGAACACCTTCCTATTTTTTTTTTTTGCATACTACTTAAAAATGATCCAAAAATGTTTTTAAGTGAATAAAAATTCAAAACAAATTGGTCCTAAAGGCATAAAAATGCAAATTAAAGGAAACTCGAGGTGTTATATATCAAAAATAGTATATATTTCAAAATTTAAAAAGTGCATATTATTCTTTGCTTCAATGCAAGTTTAATGCCGTATAGCATTTGGCATTTGGATTATCCTTAGAGTTACAGCCCGCCAAACTTGGGGCTGCAACGCAAGATCCAAAACATGTTATACACTATAACTCAAAAACCACTCATCTGATAAGCTTGAAATTGTTACAGGAGGATTCAGAGCCCCTGATTACCCCTTAGACCAATTATCGTTAAAATCCGAGAGATGAGGGTGTCAAATTCGAAAAAAGTGGTACGATCTATCGTGGAATGCCCCCTTTAGTAACCTTCAAAATGTCAACGGACATTGTGCCAATGTCAAATCAGCCAGTTGTGATTCTAAAACAATCCATCAGTGTGTCAGGTCAGTAGGCATTTATACCAATGTGAATCAATCTCCAATTTAGTGTAAATCTGGCCGGAGGTTGTTCCCTTTATGACGTCATAACTCCGTGACCTGACACGACCTTGACAAAAAAATAACAAAAGTTGCGCAAAGGATGCCCCAGAGGGTACTGAAAATTTGAACAGGCTATCTGAAACGGTTCGGCGTGTAGCTAAGAAAAACCTCAGGGGGGGGGGGGGGGCGGGTTGCACCCCCCGAGGGATACTCGTATACTTATTCTTATTTTTATTCCTTCCCCATTATCATTGTGCTCTCGCATCTAAGATTGTTTTCAATGAAAGTCACTTTATTCATTTCACAAACGTTTGATTACCTCCGAAAATGAATAGTTATGAAGAATACACGTTCTTTGCATTGAGTTGAAGCTATTAAGAAGTGATATCGGATGGAATCGTTTTGTGTTGTTGCCGTGCTCAGTTCCCATCCTACAGTTGAGGAAAGGAGATTTATCGGGCCAAGAACTTCTACCTACAGCTACAAACAATGAACAAAACAGCGGCCTATCAATTTTTGTCTTCATTTTCTACCCTCTGGCTTTGCATTACCAATATAAGCCTTAATTATTTTTATTAAAATACTCGGATACTGTACTCGGAAGTTAGGGTAGCCGTGGTGACCAATCGTACTGTCTGCATTAGTCACGTGATGTCTGGCCGCGCTCACCACGTGTTGTAAGGTCTGGGATAATTCCGCCCTCCGCCCCTTCCCGCCCCTACTGTGACGTGGGGAGCATGGGGAGTGGAGGGGAGTCGGTGTGGGATGAGGTGCTGTCCCTCCCCAGCTGTTGTGAGCCCGGCGCTTCTAGATTAGTACTGAATGAGCGGCGGTAGGGGAGGATATAATGCAGCGACTTGAGGTTCAACTGTGTGCTGGAAATTTAGCTCACCAGGATGCACTTTGCGTTTGGGTGCGTCCGTGCGCTGGTGGATGGTATCGTGCAACGTGAGGTGCGTGAGTATTCCCGAGCTCCTGAAAAGGGGTGCATGGCTTGCCTCAACTGCAAAAGCAAGTCTCATTTGCTTGGACTTGGACTTTGCTTGCTTGGAGTTCTCAATGTGTGGTGATCACCACATGGGGCCGCCGATCTATACTTTTCCGCTATATCTGGGCTTGGTAAGTACCTATCGGTAGCCCAGTTATCCAAGCCCACATCGAAAGCCCCGCCGGATTCAGCGCTGCAGCCCATCGAGCACTATTTCAACACGCTGAGAGCTGTCAAATGCTTCTGTTTTTCCTGTCGCCGCTCTCCTATAGACGCTCCTCTGAGTCAAAAAAGTGACAAAGAAAGTGAGGATCCGGACAGATCAACTGTCATCTGAGGCGACAGCTGACGTCTGATTCGCGACGATCTGTCTGTCTCGATACGATGAGTGGAGTGATCTTCGTCACGGTTTGAGTTCTGGTGAAGAAAGTCGGGAGAAAACTGCCTAATATCTCTATTGAATCCACGGCAAAGAAGTATTAAAAGATTTATGCTCTTTTGAATCACGTTAATCCATGCAGAAAAAAATGGATATCTTATTACAGGGAGCTATTTTGTGACCTCCAGCATTTAAAGGGAAGTCGGCCCTAAGTGCAAGTAAGCAGCTTTCCTCTCTTCTCCATTTGCACACGTAACTCTCCTACCTATTTATCCTTTCTTTTTCGTATTGTTTCGCCTTATCCGTCCCGCCATGTCTTGTCAATGCCTTGCCTTATCCTGTTTTTTTTTTTTTGCTGCCTTGTCTCGATCCTTCTTAGCTAGTCACTCGAGATCTCTTCTCAGCGGCTCTCCCTCCCGGCCATCGCCACTCTCCTCCCCTGTTCCCCTCTCCCCATCTTCACTTCATCACCTCACTTCCCGTCCATCTCTCCTCTCCTCTCCCTCCATTCTCTCTCCCCTCTCGGTCCTCTCTCCCTTCTCCTCTCCTCTCCCTCCATTATCTCTCCTCTCTCGTGGTCCGATATATCCCACCAGCTGATCGTTCCCCTCCGTGGCTCTCTCGTGCCGGTATGCGAATACCGTTCGAAATAGCTCCCGCTCGGCCCGACCGACCGTCTGGCCACGTCCCCGGGCAGCCTGAGGGCACGTCTGACCCCACGTGACCTCGATGGCGCCGCACGGAGAGCCGTCGATGCCGACGACCGGATGTGGGTCTCGTCTGGGTGCCCCTGCCGAAGGTATTGGCGAGCGGTGCGACTTTTGGGGCTTACAGTCGGGCCTGACAGGGACCCCATGGCGGCGCTTATGATGAAGGGCAGGTGATTGGAAGTTACTTCTGTTTTTGCGTACATGATTAATAATTATATACCATGCAGGTAATGGCAGCGAGGGGGCTTATGTATTCTGACGCATTGGCCTTAAGGAAATGTAATAACTTCCCGTAAAATGTATCCAATGGAGGTAAGGTAAAACGTGCTCACCTGGCATTGCATTATGATTGGTGAGCTTGTCAGCTATTTTTACGTTATTTATGCCACGCTTCAGAATGATGGTAAAATCGTTGGTATGCGCTTTTTATAACAAGTTTCTTCTTTCAAGTCTCCAAAATTAAACGGAGCCTAAATCTGGACGCACCAGGTCGGGTCACAATGCCCATCAGTCAGTGGCAGGGGACACTCTGGCCCGTGCTGGTGTCTGGACCTGTCGTCTGCCCCAGGATGGACCCAAGCGCGCCCCCTGACCCCTGCGAACGCGGGCCGTCACAGAGTCCCCAATGAGCGACAGCGTTCCCTCTGCTCCCAATGGATCACCGTGCGCTTGTGGAGATGGGCAAGCGTGCATCTTTGCGGCCATTGCCCTTGCCAGCTCCACCGGTGAGCCGCAAGATGAACTCGAGAGGCCCCTATGCCCCGTCCCAATACGTCTTTCCAGTCTCATTGTACCCAGTCCCCTGGCACGGAATAGCTATGCATTGTTTTCGAATGTCACAGGTAGCGTGCCTAATGGTCTCCTGTTGTTTTGCCAGTGAGCCAGCACGCTAGGTTCACACTGGTCGAAAGCATGCGTCACGAGTCCATGTAGGCAAGCTAGGAGCTCCAGGTTGATTGGTAGCAACACTTGTTCACCGCATGACTGGCATGCACGTTCTTGACTGACTCAAATGTCAGTCACGTTTCGAACTCAGTGCCTCGCTCTAGCACCTATTTGGTGCTCCCCTGATTATGTTTCTACTTCATCCCCGATAGATACCATGTCTAGTTTGCGGCTCGGAAGTGGTCCAACACTGTTTATGAACTCGATGTAAAACTTCAGCGATAGCTCGGCTATCAACATAAGGGTGACCCCATGGGTGCGCTGGCGGCGGCAAGTTTTTCTGCGCTTCCTGGACGGTGTTCTCTTCAAATAAGCTTATCGTGGAAACTTCGCACTGGTGCGATTGGTGAATCGTGTTGGGAATATTTGATTCCCTCCTTGGAAACCTCCCTCGTGCTTCCATGACTAGAGCTGATGAAAATGACGTATAGGCTCTTGGCTCGTTTGATAAATTGTGCCACGGAAAGTCGCAGTCCTAGGAAATATGCATTCCTAAAGTAACTAGGAAGTAGGGACCAAGGCAGGTGCAACAAGCTATGTGTGATTGTGCAAATACCTCTGCAGGATATGGGTGTCATGGGTGATCCAGGGCATTTTCACACCAATGGTGCCACTTATCCTCATTTCCTGACTTTTTTGGAAGAAAAAATTGTAAATGAATATACCATTGAGTGCTCTTAGTAGCGTTTTTTTTTTCAACGTCTCTTTTTATAAGAACACAGGACATTCGCTCATGCGCTTGCCATAGAAAACATCCATGAAATGTCCAGCAACGTAGATACTATAGCAGAATATTTCAGTCGTATGAGATGCCTATCTAACGTGTTCGTAGTTTGATGACACTTTGCTTCTATTTTCTTTACTTTTTAAGTTTGAAACACCGCAGTTGTTTCATAATTTCGGCGGCGGCTAGCTGATGTCAAGTCGTTAAGATGATATATGAGCCGGTTTACTAAACTTTGGCGTTCCAGCCATTGAATATTGAAGCCCTCTAGAGTGCTGTAATGCCAAAGAGCACGAAACACATATAGATCATCATGCTGATGAAGCAATAAGCTAATAACCTGGCTTCAAACTTTTGTCACACAGTAGGCCATCGTCTACCGAATATCATTTGCCTTCACAAACGTTTAGAATTTTCATATTGTTGAACCGTCAAAACTGTGATCAACGAGGTATATGAGGCTATCAGCTTATTGTCGCCACACTAATATGAAGTCATTTTGCAAAGATAAACTTCAATTCGATTATCCTCTCGCTTAATATTTTGGCTAGATTTTTAATTCGTAATTTTCGTTTCATTTGCCAGGTTCCTTTGTGCACATCAAACCAAGGCATGAGCTTACACATGGAACATAAAGTACCAATGCCAATTGCCATCATGGATTGCCAGGTGAAGTGACTCGCTTTTTGTAATGTATTGCAAGAAAAGTTGATCAAATCAAACGCACCAGTGATATTTTGTCTTTCTCCACAGGGCCGTCCTCAACCGCAATGATGGCGAACTACTGCAGCTGCTCCTACTGTGACCTTTGTTGACCTTTGGAAGCCGCCAGTTGACATTTAGAGATCAGTGCTACTTGAAGGTGTACTGGAGGCTCAAACACTCCAGCAGCTACTGGTGTCGGTCGCACTGATCAGTATGCTCCAGTGACAGAAAAAAATAACAGTGAAGTGAAGAGTGAGCAAGCTCGACCACGAGTGACTCGAGTGACATCTGCATCCTGCACACCACGGTTTACCGTCCAGGTGACTTCTGGTGACCACGAGTGACTCGGTGACGTCTTCACACCGCCGTCTGAGAGCGCTATCCAGGTGGGTCAGTGGGGTGACGCCATCTGCACGCGCCTCGCACGTGTCAACCCCGTCACCGGCCGTCCATTTGGCTCACGATCGTGAAACGGTGACCTTGGAGTGTTGCCAAGCCACTGGCCACCTCCCCCTTCACCCCTCCCCTTTCGCTGGCGTCACCGAACCGACCGCACGCACTGTGCGGTGTCCCTGCCGCCGCCCACTGACCTTGGCTTGTGGTGGGCACCATGGGGGAAGCCGATCAGATGTCGTGGCTGCTGGAAAGGCGGAGGGGGAGGTCACTGACCTGTAGCTAGTGGGCGGGGGGGATAGGGATGTTACTTTTGCTTCTTAGTCGTAGGCAGGGGTGGAGATCTGTCAAAATTTCGGGGGGGGGGGTCCAGGTCGGGCAGATGGAGGCGGGCCCGGATGCAGTACCATTAAATTACAGAGCAGTTATAGGTAATCCGTTTTTAGTGGGAGGGGTCCTGACCCCCCTCCCCCCGAGATTTCCACCTCTGGGCTAAAGGATGTGCAGACTTCTGAAGGTAGTTGTGGGGAAAGGCTTCTTTGTCATGATTAGGATGTTCCATCCAGGCCCGGGACTGGTCGTTTGTCGTAACTACGCAAGTTAACCGTGAGCCATGGAATGTATGTCGTAATGTAAAATTTACCTCAATTTTTACTGCTGAGGTTCCAACCATTGATCTTTGTTTTCTCTTGGTATGCATTATATTTTTTATCGGACATGACACCTGAGTTGTAAGCTTTTGAGGCTGGCAGACCTTCGCCCGGCACTTTGCAAAATGTGTACAGCCTAATGGACTAAAGGACCATTCTTCTCCCGTCGACTGATTTATTCCGCAGTGAAGGAACTGTTTTTACAGACTTACTTAGGGAGAAATGTGAGGGAAACGTCTGACATGCGAACTTTTGCACCCATGCAACTTTTTGTGGCCTATTTTCTAAGCGCACTGCGCAGTGCAGCTATTCTTTAGTAAATGCATCCAAATCATGTTACAGGGTGTCCCAGAAGTCTTGAAGCTTTTTTATTTTTGTCGTGTGATCTTGTTACGGAGCGAGCGAAGCGAGCGGAGTCTCATACTGAATTAAGGGAAAATCCTGAGTATGAGCGGCCGGCCGGCCGGCCGGCCGTGGGGACGCTCTTCAAAAGCTAATATCTTAGGAACGGGACATCCGATTGACAAGCGGCCTTCTTTACTGAATGTCACTTGGACGTAAAAGTTATGTGGTGTGATGGCCACCATGCGTTCTTGCCAACCACCGCACGTGGCGCGTGGTAAAGTTGGACATTTTTTAAGAACCCCCAAAATTGCAACCTCAATAACGGCACAACGGTTGGGCCGATTGAATTGAAACTCGGTACACAGTTAGGTCTCCATCAGATAATTCATCTGCATGTGTTAAGGTTGGGGTGCTACAGCACGTGCGCACGTGCAGGGGGCGCTCCCAGATCTCGAGAACGGCTGGGCCGATTGCGCTCAAATTTGGTACACGGTTGGGGACCAGTTAGTAGGGTGCCGTGCAAAAGTCAGTTTGGACCCCGCTTGCACGTGCGCACGTGCAGTGTGCCGCTTCCAGATCTCGAGAACGGCTAGGCCGATTGCGCTGAAATTTGGCACATCGCTTAAGACCGGTTAGTAGGGTGCAGTGCACAGGTTAGTTGGAGGTACCCCCTCGCAATTTCGCACGTGCAAGGCCCATCCTCTCGCTCGCTCCGTTGGTCGCCCAAAAGGCGTTTTACTGGTTATGCCACCGATTAAGGCAAATGATGCCTCAAACGAAAGAGAATGAACTGAAAATTTGTATTTGCATGCGTAGAGCACCACTTTAGTCAGGTGGCCCCCGTTGTGAGTCGCACAAGAATGAGCGCGAGAGATCACGTTCTTCGCTGCCGCAAAGATCTCCCGATTTGTGAAACACCGGTGTCGCGATGCCCGGTGCTAGTCAGCTTCAGAGCCTTATTCCATGATAAATATATGTCGCAAATGTTATTTGTGACAGGTTGATATTTGTCTTAGCCCAATAATAATGCAACGAATCAAAGGATGAAAATGGGCTGTTGCTTAGCGTGCTCAAGCAGCTGAGCCTTGCTTTCGTAGTGGATGCGAGAAAACATCTCAGAAGACTTCCTGATCAGTAAATCATTATGTTGCTAAGGTTTTCTTGGGGTCTGGGGTCAATACGCTGTTTGCTGGCTCGCTTCATGGAATAAGGCTCTGAAGCTGACAAGCAACGGGCATGGCGACACCGGTGTTTCCCAAATCGGGAGATATTGGCGGCAGCGAAGAACGCGATCTCTCGCGCTCGTTCTTGTGCGACTCACAACGGAGGCCACCTGACTTAAGTGGTGCTCTACGCATGCAAATACAAAATTTCAGTTCATTCTCTTTCGTTTGAGGCATCATTTGCCTTAATCGGTGGCATAGCAAGGTCACACGACAAAAATAAAAAAGCTTCAAGACTTCTGGGACACCCTGTACTTAACACTCAACATTTGTGCCAGGCACAATATAAAACGCACTTGATTATTAGGTCTCTGACTTGGATAACAACCGTCTTTGATTAATGTAAAATCAGGTATATGGCATCGGTAGGGCAGTGAATCACTGCATGTTAAAAGCAATTGCATGCATCATTTCATTACACAAGTGGGGTGTATGCAGCGTGCTCTGAGTGAAACTGCAGCGTGGCGCCGGGGTGTCTGGATTGTTCGGAGGTTACGCCGCTCGTGTTTGCTATTCTAGACAGCCAATGGTTTACCCGTGATTTTACGACACCATAAACTGATGAAACAATCGTTTCGACTTTGTGACGTCATGCCGGGCCATGCGCCGTATCGTGGGGCTGCAGAGCTCAGGAGCTCATTAGTTGTCAGTGATGGGCACTTGATTGTCTTTATGACCTATAAACATGGACGGCATTCACGTGACCCGAGGAATAGCACTTGTAGGCGAGGTGCGAATGCCTCTGATGATTCGTTTAATCACAAAAGCGCTGTTGTTAATGAGTCACAATTTAAATTGATCTTCAACATGTAAAACATGGAAACCAATGGATCTTTTCTTCTACACTTATAAAATCTCTTCGCAAAATGCTTGTGCAAAACATCATCAACTCATGTATGCTTCGTTTTTTTGCGAGCATGATAAATAAAAGCTGATCTACTTTATCTTTCCTGTCATGTTCGCAAAGCTGCATTATACAAATACCGACAAACGGATATGCCTCGATATTCTATTGACCTCCCATCAATGTCTTATTCCATCCATATCTTTCGTTCAGCCCACGTTTACTCTAGGCTCACCCCCGGCCACGACATAAGTGAGCCGGACTTAAACTACTGTTTTCCCCGGGGCGCCATCAGAGCTCGATTTGCAACAGCTGCCGAGGCACCACTCTTCAGTGGAGATAATTTGACGCGCGTGGCACTGTTCAGTGTTCAGTCACAGGGGCCAGCTCTATTCTATAGCCCGAGGGCATCCTAGGACGAGAACGTCTCATAAACGGAGAATCAGTATATGTGCGCCGCGGATCGGTGTGATTGTGTCAGCCTTTTGGTGCTTTTATTGAATACAGCGTATTTCAAATTAAATAATGCTTGCTGTCCTAAACGAATGGTCGTTTTTATCATGCATCGTTTAGTAGGATTTAAAAATGTTTTTAACCTAATTGGTGGCGCTTATTATCCTGGTGCAGCAACGGTAACAATGTTTCTGGCTTCCAAGCTGACACCGTTAGTTTCGCAGCAAATGCCACATGGTTCATGGTCATTATAATCAGCGTTACATAAAACATTAATGGTGGTCTCCCTGCTTTGTGATAAGCATGAAAGGGTGACAATTGATTTAAACTTGGATTCGTATAAGCATAAACGACGTTGCAAAATGAATGTTCACAATTCTTACCTACATCGCATTCTGGAGCCTGTATTTTTACCTACTTAGATTGAGGCAGACAACATTGATGAAAATTTGTTGTCATTTTAATGTGTTCTTTTTGTAACATATCTCCTTATTATTTATCGCGAATGATGTGGATACCTATAACAGGCACGCAATGATGAGATGCCGACACTGGTGGGTATTTGTATCATTCAGACCACTCTAAATATCAAGAGTCGATGTAAAAACTCCTTAGCCTGTACGACAAACCGATACTATGTACATAATTTGGAACTCACCATTTACCACCGTAAGCAGGATAGATTCAAATGGCTGCCGTTGCGCTGCAGAATTGTTGCCTGTCAAGCAGACCGGGCAGCAGCGGAAAGACGTAAACAGCACTCCATCATCATATGTGAGACAAAAACAGCGTAGAAGCACACGAGTGATAAAGAACGTCTAAAAAGCATGACTCATATCACATCAAGGAATAAGTGCTTAGCAAATATGCTAAAGACATTACAGTAGTTCCTTTTTCAATTGATTACGTGGATTTCAGGTGAAACTCGGAAAAGGAGTTTGTTGTACTGCGGAGCGTAATGTCGATTGCTCCATGTAACGTGTTCTATGTGAAAAGCGATAATAAACGTCAAACTGTCATACCACATAACGTGTTCTACCTCGTTTTCCATTTCACTCAATCAGCGCTCTTGTTCTGCCGGATTTAATCTAAATTCCATCCACTAATGGAACAACAGAACGACTGAATACGGGACAAAACAGCGAGACTGCTGATTTGATAGACGAGGAGAGAAGATAGCAATTAAATGCAAAACTGAAACGACAGATGAATGTGAGATGTGGTGAAGAGTCTGCTCTGAACTGCCTTACTTTGGACATTAGATCTCCTTTTTCGGAGGGGGGGGGGGGGGTGAGCAAACCAGTGACCATCTGGCTATCTTTCACATGAGCCCATTGCTCATGGGTCGATATTGGTATAACACATTCTCCTGTGAAATATGATACGGCACTTTGTCTTTGCACTTGGTGGATTTTCTACAGAGAAAAGATTGATGCCTAAATGATATTTGCAATCATACTCGGTCATTCTGCATTATA